TATTACGCCACCCATGCCGCGTTCCACTGTCTCTCCTCGATTTGTTTCCCGTCAGCCTTCTTCCTGCGCGACTCCCTCCCCTCTCCCTCTCTGATTCCGGTCAAATCGTTTCGTGCATTTCAATCACCATCGAGTCGTCGCGTAAACCATTTATGGATTTATCCTTTTTTTCGTTTTCGATCGAAAAAAAAAAGAAAGAAAGAAACGCGGAAAAATAATCTCTTCGATTTTTTTCTATTATTTCATTTAACGAGATTTCTTTTTTTCTTTTAATCGAGATCGAAACTTTTATCCATAGCCCGATATATATAACTCGTATTTTTCTCGAATATATAAATGATGGGGATAATTATATGTTATATTGGAAATCGTTCTTCCTTTTCTTTCATTCGTTTCGTCCATCTTTTCATCTAGATTTTGTTCACAGTGTTTATATGTTATTGTACAGAGATCCACAGTGATATCAAACCTCGAGTATTCCAACTAAATTCAATTAGAGTAGATTCAATTGTTTCGTTGGGAAAAAAGGGAGGGGGAGTTGTCAAAAAAAAAAAAAAAAAAAAACAAACGTATGGTCGAGAGAAGGAAAAATTTAATTCTGCGAACGAACGCCCCCGGTCACGAGTCTGTAAAACGAAAATATCGGAATTACTTCTATAATTCCTTTACGTTTTCGATAAAATAACTGGAAATAATTGAGAAGATCGATTCGAGGTGATTTTGGTTGATTTTTCTTCAAACTCGAATCGATTTGAAAATGTTTTCACATCTTCGATAAAATGAGGATTAAATATAAATGAACAAAGATATATCGTTTCCTCTTCTCGAATTCGATCAATAAAATTCGTTCACAAAATAACTAGAACAAGATAAATAGACTCTTCATTCTCAACCAAGAAACGTAAAAAAATCATAGTGGAAAAATTTAATATTCGAAACTTCTCGCAATTTCGAAAGACCACGATCGAGTTTTTTTAACACGATATTTTTCGAACACGCGGCGAGTGTTTTCAGAGAGCGCAATTAGAAGGCGTAGCTCTTTCCAAGCCACTTATTTCCCCGTGGAAACGTGGCGGGGGAATAAAAATGCACGTATCGAAGGGCGTGTGTGCGCGTGTGTGCAGTCGATGGCGAATGATTCGAGGGGACAGAATCGCAGACGGATGGGGTCGGAAAAAGGAGCAGCCAAAAATCAATATCGCCGTCCCTGAAACTTCTTGTCCGCGCGTTTCCCGATTACGAAACATCGAGTCACGTGATCGATGTGAAAAGAAAAAAAAATAAGACATTTCGTTTCGATCATTTCCTCGAATTTTCTTGGATTGTGGTAACTATTTTTAGGATAACGCGTTGGGCGCCTCGAACAACGCGGGGATGCCAAGTATATATAGCCGAGAATTTTCCACCCCAACATGTTATTTTCCACATTTTCGTTTCACCTTCTGAAAGATTTACAGAATTGTAAGTTATTATTATTATTATTATTTTAATAATTACAATATTGATATAATAGAATAATCGGATGATTTTTCACGAAGGAATTGGTATTTATTTTTCTTTAAGGAGATTTTAAGCTATTTTAAAAAAATTCTACAATACTTGGTATAAAAATTGTATAAATCGATAATATAATCTTATTATTTCTTTTATCTTAATATTTATATTTAATAGATAGCACGTAACATAAGTATTATTATGCGTCATTCCATATCTGTACATATTTTTCCATTATTTATACTTATCATATTTACTTTGTACTCTATACCATATATATATACAATCCGCATTGTATTGTCGTATCAGAATTTTTATATCCTCTGCATCTTCAATATATATCGATTATTCTTTTTTCCATCAAAGGCGACGATACCTTCCGGACAAATTCCGCGAATATTTCAACGGGAGGGGGATAAGGATAAACATATTGTTTCTACAAGTTTTCATCCTCCCGTCGAGGGAGGAGGGAAGGGAGGGGAGGAAGGTTTGCAAAACGTTTGGAACGCGCGTTGAATGAGCCCACGCGCATTCCAAGTGGCTCGTGCACGATTCGAGATATTGACATTGGCCCTTTTCCACGGGGATCCGCGATCGTTTTATTATGCGGCCGGCGGAACTCGGTTTCGAGGATTGGCACAGTTTCAAGTGCACGATGCTCCTTAGACACCCTGCCAGCCCCTGCTGGCAAAAAAACATCGTTGAATATTCGCGAGAACAAGTAGGGGAGAAGTAGTTTGGATTGGATTTTTCCGAATCATCGATGACGGAACCAATTTACGATCAATTTATACGATACGTTCATTCGGATATAAAGGGTGAATGTTGTGGATAATCGATATTTATTAATGTATTTTTTTAGATCGTTTTTGGTGTGTTTTACTTCTGGAAATCAGATCTCTTTTTCTTTTTTTTTTTTTTTTTTTTTTGGAATCCGAGAACTCGTTTTAAATTCATTTACTTCTCAAATATATACACAAAATTGAATGATATTTATTTAAAAAAAAAAAATAAAAAACAATTGACTGGAGATATCTTTCGAATCACATTATATCTCTTTTAAAATCGAAGAAGAAATTCCTGAGAAAGAGACGTCAATTTTTTCTTTTTTCGATTTCAAAATTATCCATCAACCGTCTTAAAATAAAAAAAAAACAAATCGAACACAATAATAATAATAATAATAATAATAAAAGAATAAAAAAAACTTCATCTCCTCACCTTTATCTCGAATCACCCGGTCGTTGCGCGTGTAATCGACTCGCAATAAAATTAAATCGGCGTGTGGGCCG